ACGAATGCCTCTGAAAAGGTTCCATTGTCCGTGACACGTGTCGTCATGCCGTCGTGGAGTTGACGCACCATCTGAGTGAATCGGTCGGGACGGCCGATTTTTTGCATGGTTTTCCACAATCCTTCGCCATCCACCGTTTCGAAGGCCATTCGTTTAATCCAAGAAGGTAGAGTAGAAGTGGATCTGCATCTCCTAAAACTGTTCCTGCAGTTGGCGGGCGGCGATGACCATTTCGGTTGTTCCATGATGACGGCGGAAGTTTATCCCAGATGGTTGTTCAGATGGTTAAGAAGGATGCGAGCGAAGATCATCCATGCGATGATCAGAAGGGAGATGCCTCTGTGGTTGTCGCAGGTTTGGCGGTTCCCTTTGCGCTTGTAAAGGTGGACGATTGTGGCGTCCTTGAAATCCCGAGGGATTTCTATTTGACGCCATATTTCCTGAAGGAACTGTCAGGTGTTTTATCAGTAGGGGGCCACCGTGTTTGTAGATCTCAGCATGGATCGTGTCTGATCCGGGCGCTTTCCCACTGGAAAGATCCTGCACAGCCTTGATGGTTTCGTGTTGAGAGCCCGCGAGGTCGAGATTGGCGTTAGTCGTCAGTTGAGGCAGACTTTCGATGGCGGCGTCGGAGATGGTAGAGGGACGGTTAAGGGTACCTATGAAGCGTTCGACTCATCGCTTCAGAACTTGCGTCTTCCCAGTGAGTAGGATAATTCCGTCGGCACTGAGAAGAGGAGCAGTTCTTTTGCTGTGGGACCGTAGGCATCCTTGATCGCAGTGAAGAAGTTTTTTCATTTGTTGCTGCACGTGTATCCTTGGATTTCCTCGACCTTGCGAGCCGCCCAGGCCCCCTGCATCTCCCACAGTCCCTGTTGCAGAAGGCGGCGACTACGGTAGAAGGCTGCGTTGTTGTCGTCGTCGTTTGGCGATTGACGCGGGGGCGTAAACGCTAACGATGGTTGACAACTCCTTTTCAGAGTGGCGCGAGAGATCTATCCACGGCTTTGGGGTTCCCTTTCATGCACGTAATGCTCCGCCACTTTGTTAACTGACTATGCCCTTCTTTCCGCTTCCTTGGTTGCATTCGGCTCCGTACATCGAATGCTTACGGATAGCCGTTGAATCTGAAGAGTTCTCAGTCTCGGAAGATGGGTAGACGAAGTAACTACTCGAAACATTAGAAGTACAGGAAATGCGTACTGACCTCTGTATTACTTTCGGGAACCTGACGACTACCTTGGGCCCTCTAAATCTCGGTAGACTATGGAAAATCATGCAGTAATCCGGATATCCTGGAAGATTAACACACATGGTGCATCAGCCCACGACGGTATGATGGCGCGGGTCACGGACAATGGGACGGTCTCAAATGCATTCGTAGTGACCAATAGAATAAGGCAGTACTGCTTACTCGCTCCCACCCTCTTCATTCTCATGCGCTCTGTCATGGTGATGTATGCACACGTTGTTTGGGCGCACCAGGATTTGCATCTTCTAAAGGATCGACTGCCACCTCAACAGCCAAGGCACCTAGCCTCCACCGTCCCTATCCACAGCTACTGTCCACGGCCTGTTCTTCGCGTACGGCTTCGCGCTCTACATCCCCTCATGGCGGGTATCCAACGAAGCATGAACCTTTCCGCCACTGGCTGTGCCAATTTCGAACTGACCATTAACACGGACAAAACAGTGGTCATGCACCAGCCGTCACCCAACACTGAATACGACGACGCCCGCAGTACCTTCAACAGCATACTTTTCGCCTATGCAAGTAGGAGCATGAACCGAAATCTTCAACACTGACGCCCTGCGGAGGCAAACGCAACTACGCCGTATCGGTCATTTCGCAAGAATGGACGACGATAGTCTACCAGAGGGACTCTTCTACGGTGGTGTCGCCAAGCTTAGTCGCAGGCAAGGAGGACAAGACGACGTAGCGTATTCAACAGCACTCCCATGCGCCTACAAATCAATTCGGAGACCTAGGAAGACCCCGCCCAGGATAGACCGGCCTGGAGCAGTGGAGATAGAAGCAGCAATCTACGAAACTAAACGTTTGCCGCTGCAAAAACCGGAAAAGCTGCTCGCAGGTTTCATGAGCCTCTGACCCACAACACCCACACTCAACTTCTCCCAACATGCACACGCTGCCAGCTAACATTTCGCGCAGAGATTGGCCTCGCAGACTTCTACAGACCCAACGCAATAACAATCCGCCAACTCCGCCTGCTGCCTCCGCAAATGCCCTTATCACTTCCCCTGCACCAACCCCCACGGCGACCACGCCCACGACCGGTGATCAGACTCCGGATGCTCCGCCGCTGTCGGTCACCCCGGCCGCATTTTCCGCGACGTCTATCACCTTTCCTACTCCTGCCAATGATGAGAACACTCCCGGCTCCTCGTCAACCACTTGCCTCACCAACAATGTGGACTTGATCCCAACCTGTCCTGGTCGGTCACTTATGAATCCATCGCACCGCGACCGCCGAACCAGTGTTAGGTGCATCGGCATACATCATCCCATCCACCATCACTCACCATATGAGCCTTTTCGATCGTAGGCGTATCCGCGACAGCGGCATTCACGCAATGTCGTCACGTAAGCACAACTAACAACTCTCCCATCTTTCGCAATACCAACTCCCCATCTTCCTGCGCGACCACCACTAGCAGCATATCACCACCACAACCGATTCTGCAGCCCTCAACCTATCTTGCCCACTCTGTCACCGCACATTCACCGACCGCACGCATCGGCCTGGTCAGTCATCTGCGAATCCGTCGCACAGAGACTGGCGAACCAGTACCTGAAACATCAACATACACCAGACGCCGTCGTCTCATTTGTCCGCATTGTCCTCGCGCATTCAGCCATCGCATGGGTCTATTTACTCACATGCGCCTGCACGAGAACCTGTGGCGAACCACTGCAGGCGTGACTACATCACCATACACATTCCAATTACCACATGCTCCACACAGAAACACCTCCAACACCCCCACGCCACCGGCACATCTCTTTGGCTCCTTTCTCCACGTGCGATCCGAGAAGTCTACCCCTTGTGTGTGTGCGTATTGTGGGGCAGGTTGTGTGCGTAGCACGCTCAGGTGAGCTGTTCTCAGCTATGTCAGCCACCCTTCCCAATCTCAGCATCAATTAGTTGACCGGCCTGGACAATCGATTGATGCACAGAAAATGGGAGGGTGAGGTCGACTCAGCGCATAATTCCCCACTGCAAATTCTCTGACGCGCTTGAGACTGTCACGGTGCGTCAGGAGCCGTGGCTTGTAAGGTTGCGACTGACGGGCCTCTCAGTCAATCCAGTGTGCCTGTGCGGAGTGACCGACTGGTGGACTAAGAGTCAGACTGCAATGGCTCCTTAACGCGGCCTCTAGGGCACTTTCACACATGTGAGATCCCAGCCGCCCACCCGCATGTCGTGTGGGAAGTCAGGTCGGGTATGCGGCACGCGCAGATGGGCTCTCTCACTCTGCCAGCCACTGTGCTCAATCCGCTTATTAAACAACTGGCTGTCTCGGACAGTGGACCGGTGTCATTGAGTGTGAATAGATTGTGAGGTCGACTCTTTCAGCAGATAGTCCACGGTGCGCTAAAAGCCGTAACTTGTTATTCTTCCGGCTGACTGGATCTGAGCGTCAGACATCAAAGGCTCCTTAATGTGACCTTCATGCCCCATTTGCTCCTTATTGTTGTGTGAAGAACAGGTCCTTTGTGGGTAAACGCTGGTATGTGGTCGCACGCCTAGACGCGAGCTTACGGCGCGCCGGGCACCTGCGCCCCGTCTCACCACTGCTCTTCTTGAACCTGTCATGTCATCTCGCCCAGGTGGGAGGAAAGGGTACGGTTGATGCTTCGACAGTCTACTATCATTATGAACGCATTCAAGCACAAGTCACTGTCCCTACTCTAACCCTGCCGCGGAGCACGAGGTGGATCTCGCCTGGATCGGCCATTGAACTGTCATTTGTTTGCCGTAGTTATATGTTTATATTTGGGTTAGGGTAGCCCTTCGTTAGTCGTTGTTTTAGGTCGGCTCGACTTTATTATTATTTGTTTATTTCTTTGCAGCCAACTTTACCTGGGCCACCAATATAGTGAGAAATGTTCGTAATCTGAAAATAGTGACATTCTCAATACCTGACACGTTTTTATTCCTACTAGTCTCCTTTTCGCTTTTTATTTTTGTGTCCCTTGCATCAGCATTAAGCATTTGGTCGCCTCTTCGGTCTGCCGCGGTTTGACTTGTCATGTTTTCTCGGTCTTTTGTGTTGTAATCGTTTCGACGTTTTCTTCTTTTTCATCTTTAGGCCTTCGCCACTGTTGTTGGTGATCCAAGTAACAGCAGAACTCTAAACGAGATACCTAGTCAGTGGATGCAGTAAGTTTCTCTTTTTTCCTGCTGCACATCTCTCATCTCCTATTCCGCCGTCGTTAGCAGATGAGAAATCTCCTCTTGCTCGCTCTCTGGGTGCTCATACTACAACTTCCGTTAGAGAGAGAACCATTTGCCGTCCAGCTAGGGTGTTCCGCCACTTGAGAGTATTTCATTTGTTCTTGCATAATTCAGAGTGAATGGCCTTGCTTACTGGACGTAGTGGGGTAGGGGAGCAGTATTCCGTGCGCGGAATTGCATTCGAAACTCGCGAGTAACCGCATGCAGCAACTGGAAGGAAATTTCGGGTCAGTCCCTGCGTCCGATTTAATCTCCAACCAACTTGACCCCGTGAACCTACTGTAGGGAGCGAAGAGATTGGAACTAATCTCTAAGTCTTCACTCATTGTAATCTAACTGGCCTACCAACTCCCAAGGTACCGGTTTACCTTCTGGTGGGGCAACTTGCTTTTTGAGACAACTGGTGTTCGTTGAATCCCCTATGTAGCTTTTGTAGCAAATCCCACGAACGCCATAGCGTAGCTGTTAAGCCCATATTTCACTGTCTTGGTAAAAGAGATCGAGTTCGATGCTGCAAAATTCACCACTACATCTGTAGGTTATTGTCGGGTTGAGTCCCTCGCCAACTGGGTAGACGTTCGTTGGAAATTTGATCGACGAATAGAGCGCAGGCGTTAATGAAATACTTCCAAGTTGTTTATATTTTCTAAACGCACGGGCAATGCCGCAAACTCTAATTGTCTGGGCGAAGGTCTCGTACACTCACGATTCGGTTATCAGACGGATCTCGACGATTTTGGGGGTTTCGTTGCGCGCTCCAGGTTTATGCGATGACCGATTTCATTCTTACCTTGCACATTTGGTAGTTATCCATTAACCTGCTGGTTTTACCATCCACTGTGACCGACACATATCTCCACCCGTGACATCGGAGACAACCATTCGCGTCTTAGAGGAGTTTATTTTCAAGGCCTTCTGCAGCCTAGCGCGTATTTGGGACACTGCACACTGTAACTTCACAAAGGGGCTGGTATGTAGTGTCCGTATGAAGTGCCCGTATTTTCCTCTGTCTCTTTCGAGCTTCCAGAAAGTTAATCGCGATTGGTTTACAATGGGCTACCTCCCCATACCGACTGCAACTATTTTTCTCCCCGTCCAGATATACCTCTTGTTCTTATAAAGTTTCCTGACCTTTATTTTTCGTACGAACACGTATTTAATCGCTTAAGCTATGTAATAGTGTCACGCACATCATATTGATCTGTTTAACTCACCAACGACATCATTTAATCGAACTACCACTTGTCAGTCAAACAGAGCTTCACTTTCGGTGAAATGGAAGTCTTTACACTAGCCAATCGGGTTGGCATGTCACGATAGTCGCCGGTCTCCGTCTTGGTCGACAACTGCCTCTACAGCGTCTTATTTGGAGTTCAAGAATTTCTTGTGTCATGCTATCCTCTTCTAGCTATTTCAACGGTCACTACCGCTGTCGATCACGCTCGCTTACGCACCCTCGTCTCGAAGAAGCCGATAGAGGGTTAACGAGGAGACTGTAGCGAGAGCCGGAAGTAAGCCACTTTAGTAAGAGATGGTGAAAAGCGGAAACGAAACAGTGAGGGCTCCATACTCCTGGATGCTCGGTTGCCCTGGTAGGTGGAACTGTACTTGGTCTGAGTTGCACTGACAGCCTCAACATTACCGCTATTCCACTTTAACCTGTTCATTACACGCGTGTGTGCGTCCATGCTCGTGTGCGCGCCGTTGTGAGAGCACTCGTCAACGCCGAACAGGGGTGAAATGCAAGTTCCCAATTATCAATGATTGGTGCGGCTTTGACATTGTCAACCAGTGCCCTTGTTCTGCATTTTCTATCGGGATAGAGAGCCGTCCAAAAGTTGAAAACAATTGACAGAAGGATTCGCAATGTCGACTAGGCTCAATAGAGGCAGAGAACCGGGATGAATCCCACCGTTTCGTCCACCTTTGGCAATTAACCAGACATTTAAAGGCAACGTTTCGTTTTATGCAAAATTGCCACAATCTAATACTCCAATCCTTTGCACTCTCTCTGTCTCTCTCAAACCCAAACGTTCGCTAGTTTCCTTGTCTTAACTAATTAAGGGCATCACTATCCTGAGCAGGAACAAATCTGATTCGCAGACGTGCGTAGCACTCACCTCACACTAATCTGACATCCACCGGGTGCTGGTGCTAGGGCATGTTCAGTATGCCTGAGGTTGAGCGTGGGCGCGGCGGCTGAACTGGCATCAGAAACACCAACATACTTCACGTGCACATCTCCGTTCCTTCAAAGCAGAACTCGAAAGCAAATTCCCCTATCTCCCGCCAAAGAGATATAAGGGTCATCTTAAGAAGAAACCATCACTGCCTGGTTTTCAGCCTGGGTGGCACTTAGTTGTTATCAGGCAACCCTGCATAACTTTTGGCACGCCATGTTGGTTTAGAATGCCTTACCTTACTCTAAGGAGAGTGCTGGAGCAGTCTCAGTCTCTTCCTTCGTAATACGAGTCAGTGGCAATTTTGATTTAAGTCACTTGATGAGACTGGGTATTAGCAAACTGAATGTAAGGCCTCCGTCTAATGTGTGCCGCACGCATGTTCGGTTTTCGCACTGGTCCAAGGTAGCGTTGCAACACGTTTTGAGGTGCTAACAATAACAGCAAGCTTTTCCGCACACCTACAGCCTCTCCCAATTCACTGGCTATTTTATTCGCATTTAGAGCGCGATTTCTGAGGGGTGTCAGTGAATTGGAGCACCTTGGCTTCATCAAAGGCACCCGACGCAGAATCGACCACGTTTCCCGCCTCAGGTCGGCATACTTTCTTAATTAGTGGATGTGCACAACCCTCCTACCGCCGGTTTGTTTCTCCGTTGCTTGGAGCGGTGCCGCCTTTCACTCAGTCTCATTCCTAAAAACAGATAATCTACCTTGTTCGTTTGCTATCGACTAGTCCTTTTTCGACACTTTAACGGACAATTTTGAACGTCCAGTCTGTAGAGAAACTATTGCATATTTTTATATACCTACAAGCAATACAATCTTTTTCTTAACTTTTTACTTGTGCCGAGGAACCCCTCGCTGAAGGGAGAAGCGGTTATCTCAAGAAATCTAGTTAGAAAGAAGTAAAATTATACGATAACCGAATGCTTGTTGCGCAAATCTTCATGACTGGTTCCATAGCTCGTCTTCAGACTCATGCGTCATATATGTAAACAGTTAACTATTTAACCGTGCCTAACGAACAACTCTGTTGTTGACGGAGGCCTGCGCCAATGTGCGCCTATTGCATCTGTTAATTCCGTCGGCACTGGCTACGTGCGCTTCCATAGCTACGGAGCAGACATCAAATACCTCATCAGGTTATATCCCTACAATGGGTACCTCTTCGTGCGTCAGTGTATGAAACATCCTGAGTTAGAACAGAAAGGCACTTCGAACACTACAACCGCCAAGGCGCCATAAACAACGTACCTGAGGTTCTGCTGAAAGAGTCGACCTCACAATCTATTCACACTCCAAAACACCTGTCCACTATCCGAGCTATCCAGTTGTTTAATAAGCGGATTGAGCACAGTGGCTGGCAGAGTGAGAGAGCCCATCTGCGCGTGCCGCATACGCGACCTGACTTCCCACACGACATGCGGGTGGGCGGCTGGGATCTCACATGCCTGAAAGTGCCCTAGATGCCGCTTTAAGGAGCCATTGCAGTCTGACTCTTAGTCCACCAGTCGGTCACTCCGCACAGGCACACTGGATTGACTGAGAGGCCCGTCAGTTGCAACCTTACAAGCCACGGCTCCTGACGCACCGTGACAGTCTCAAGCGCGTCAGATAAATTGCAGTGGGGAATTATGCGCTGAGTCGACCTCACTCTCTCCCATTTTCTGTGCATCAATCGATTGTCCAGGCCGGTCAACTAATTGATGCTGAGATTGGGAAGGTTGGCTGACATAGCTGAGAACAGCTCACCTGAGCGTGCTACACACACAACCTGCCCCACAATACACACACACAAGGGGTAGACTTCTCGGATCGCACGTGGAGAAAGGAGCCAAAGAGATGTGCCGGTGGTGTGGGGGTGTTGAAGGTGTTCCTGCGTGAAGCATGTGGTAATTGGAAAGTGTATGGTGATGTAGTCACGTCTGCAGTGGTTCGCCACAGGTTCTCGTGCAGGCGCATGTGAGTAAATAGACCCATGCGATGGCTGAATGCACGAGGACAATGCGGACAAATGAGACGACGGCGTCTGGTGTATGTTGATGTTTCAGGTACTGGTTCGCCAGTCTCTGTGCGATGGATTCGCAGATGACCGACCAGGCCGATGCGTGCGGTCGGTGAATGTGCGGTGGCAGAGTGGGCAAGATAGGTATAGGGCTGCAGAATCGGTTGTGGTGATGATATGCTGCTAGTGGTCGCGCAGGAAGATGGGGAGTTGGTATTGAGAGAGATGGGAGAGTTGTTAAGTGTGCTTACGTGACGACATTGCGGTGAATGCCGCTGTCGTGGATACGCCTACGATCGAAAAGGCTCATATGGTGAGTGATGGTGGATGGGGTGATGTATGCCGATGCACCTAACACTGGTTCGGCGGTCGCTGTGCGATGGATTCATAAGTGACCGACCAGGCCGATGTGTGAGGTGAATGCGCGATCACAGTGAGGACAGGTTGGGATCAAGTCCACATTGCTGGTGAGGCAAGTGGTTGACGAGGAGTCGGGAGTGTTCTCATCATTGGCGGGAGTAGGAAAGGTGGTGGACGTCGCGGAGGATGCAGCCGGGGTGACCGACGACGGCGGAGCATCCGGAGTCTGATCACCGGTCGTGGGCGTGGTCGCCGTGGGGGTTGGTGCAGGGGAAGTGATAAGGGCGTTTGCGGAGGCAGCAGGCGGCGTTGGCGGGTTGTTATTGCGTTGGGTCTGTAGAAGTCTGCGAGGCCAATCTCTGCGCGAAATGTTAGCTGGTTGCGTGGGCATGTAGGGAGAGGTTGAGTGTGGGTGTTGTGGGTCAGAGGCTCATGAAAGTTGCGAACAGCTTTTCTGGTTTTCGCAGCGGCAAACGTTTAGTTTCGTAGATTGCTGATTTTGTCTCCACTGCTCCAGGCCGGTCGATCCTGGGCGGGGTCTTCCTAGGTCTCCGAATCGATTTGTAGGCGCATGGGAGTGCTGTTGAATACGCTATGTCGTCTTGTCCTCCTTGCCGGCGACTAAGCTTGGCGACACCACCGTAGAAGAGTCCCTCTGGTAGATTATAGTCGTCCATTCTTGCGAAATGGCCGATACGGCGTAGTTGCGTTTGCCTCCGCAGGGCGTCAGTGTTGAAGATTTCGGTTCATGCTCCTACTTGCATAGGCGAAAAGTATGTTGTTGAAGGTACTGCGGGCGTCGTCATATTCAGTGTTGGGTGACGGCTGGTGCATGACCTCTGTCAGTCCGAAGTTGACACAGCCAATGGCGGAAAGGTTCATGCTTCGTTGGATACCCGCCATGAGGGGATGTAGAGCGCGTAGCCGTACGCGAAGAGCAGGCCGTGGACAGTAGTTGTGGATAGGGACGGTGGAGTCTACGTGCGTCGGCTGTTGAGGTGGCAGTCGGTCCTTTAGAAGATGCAAATCCTGGTGCGCCCAAACAACGTGTGCATACATCACCATGACAGAGCGCATGAGAATGAAGAGGGTGGGAGCGAGTACGCAGTACTGTCTTATTCTATTGGTCACTACGAATGCATTTGAGACCGTCCCATGGTCCGTGACCCGCGCCATCATACCGTCGTGGGCTGATGCACCATGTGTGTTAATCTTCCAGGATATCCGGATTACTGCATGATTTTCCATAGTCTACTAAGATTTAGAGGACCCAAGGTCGTCGTCAGGTCCACGAAAGTAATACAAAGGTTAGTACGCATTTCCTGCACTTCTGATGTTTCGAGTAGTTACTTCGTCTACCCATCTTCTGAGACTGATAACTCTTCAGATTCAACGGCTATCCGTAAGTATTCGATGTACGGAGCCGAATGCAACCAAGGAAGCGGCAAGAAGGGCATAGTCAGTTAACAAAGTGGCGGAGCATTATGTGCATGAAAGGGAGCCCCAAAGCCGTAGATAGATCTCTCGCGCCACTCTGAAAAGGAGTTGTCAACCATCGTCAGCGTCTACGCCCCCGCGTCAACCGCCCTACTGACGACAACAACAACGCAGCCTTCTACCGTAGTCGCCGCCTTCTGCAACAGGGACTGTGGAAGATGCAGGGGGTCTGGGCAGCTCGCAAGGTCGAGGAAATCCAAGGATACACGTGCCGCAACGAATGGAAAAACTTCACTGCGATCAAGAATGCCTACGGTCCCACAGCAAAAGAACAGCTCCTCTTCTCAGTGCCGACGGAATTATCCTACACATCGGGAGGACGCAAGTTCTGAAGCGATGGGTCGAACGCTTCATAGATATCCTCAACCGTCCCTCTACCATCTCCGACGCCGCCATCGAAAGTCTGCCTCAACCGATGACCAACGCCAATCTCGACCTCGCGGGCTCTCTACACGAAAACATCAAGGCTGTGCAGGATCTTTCCGGTGGGAAAGCGCCCGGATCACACACGATCCATGCTGAGATCTACAAACACGGTGGCCCCCTACTTATAAAACGCCTGACACTTCTTTCAGGAAATATGGCGTCAAATAGAAATCCCTCGGGATTTCAAGGACGCATCAATTGTCCACCTCTACAAGCGCAAAGGGAACCGCCAAACCTGTGACAACCACAGAGGCACCTTCCTTCTGATTATCGCATGGATGATCTTCGCTCGCATCCTTCTTAACCATCTGAACAACCATCTGGAATAAACTTCCGCCGTCATCATGGAACAACCGAAATGGTCATCGCCGCCCGCCAACTGCAGGAACAGTTTTAGGAAATGCAGATCCACTTCTACTCTACCTTCTTGGATTAAACGAATGGCCTTCGAAACGGTGGATTGCGAAGGATTGTGGAAAATCATGCAAAAAATCGGCCGTCCCGACCAATTCACTCAGATGGTGCGTCAACTCCACGACGGCATGACGACACGTGTCACGGACAATGGAACCTTTTCAGAGGCATTCGTAGTGACCGACGGAGTGAAGCAGGGATGCGTCCTCGAGCCTACCCTCTTCAGTCTCATGTTCTCTGCCATACTAAGGGACGCATGCCGTCACGAACGCCCCGGGATCCACGCCGCCCACGGAGATGACGGTGGTTGTGCACCAACCGTCACCCGACGCTGTCTACGTCGCACCCTAAATCAACGCGAACGCGCCCGACTGCAGATCGTGACAAATTCACCTAACTGAGCAGCATCCTTTCTCGCAACACCAAAACCGACGATATTGTGGTCCTCCGGATTTTCACGGCCATTCAAGCCTTTGATGGCCTACAAAACAGTCTGGAATCGACAGTCTCGACTCCAGCACCAAAATGAAGACGCACAATCATCCTGCTGACGCTGCAAGATGCAGGCGCGAAGACTCAACACATTTCACCAGAGGTGGTAGGACCTCATTCCGGACGCGGATGTAATGGGCACCAATCTGTCCTTTTGGGCATCTTTGGACTCAATACCGCATCAACTCGACGTCTACTTCTCCCACTACCGCCTCTGTCATAAAGTCCGCACAGACGGCCACCATCGTTATCACCGAGTACACTGTCGCCGCCACCGCCCTCCCCCAAGTGCCGCACCAACCGCAGTGAACGGCGCCAACAACACCATCACCAACACAGTGACCTCGAGCACTCCTCCCACCTAAGGGACGACGTCCCATCAACCTCAAACACTATAAACATCCCCACCTTCAGCAAGT